TATATATATATATATATAAACATGAGGCATAAAAAAATATTACCATTTTTATTTCGTTATCTCTCAATGATACATTAGATGATTGCAACACTATGACAAATTTAATCTTTGTGTTTGTAGCATAACCATATCTGAAAATAAGAATATTAAAACGTATTTAATACCTAATGTGTAGCTATGTTGTAGAGCAATGTCATATGAGAGTAATATTACATACATTTTGTATTCTTCAGTCGCAAATAACAAGCCTAAGTATAAATCACGTATATCAACTGTCGTTTTACTCCCTACATTCAGCTTTTCCTCTATAATATCAATTGACGTATGTACTTTGTAATGAAATTGCAATCCAGCAGCTTCATCCGTACATTGATATATTTTGATAAATTTTGGAGAATTCTACAAAATATTCATTATTATTTAGAATAATTCAATGTTTACAACGCGTAAAGAAACTCGCTGAAATAAATGTGCTTCATTGTATTTATTGAAAAATTTTTGTTTATACGTCATAACCTATCAAGTAGAAAATAGCTATTTATACTTGCATCTTTACCAATAACAGCTACGCAAGCAACCATTTTAGCAGATTCTATAAAAAAAACAAAAAGAATTCCATTACAATGCACTACACATTTTTGCGAAATGTATTTTTATGCGAGAATAATTGCGAGTATACAACGTTAATGTTCCGTTAGTACTGACGCTAGGTTAGAATGGTACTACCGTTTCGATCGTTTGAATAAAAAGAAACATTCTTTAGATGAAACATTTTACTTATAAAGCATAAAATATAAATATTAGCGCAGTACAAAGAATATGCACATTAGATGTAGACTAATTCTAATTTATGACAATTACATATAATTTATATACAAAACATATATATAGTAGTAATTTATATAACATTATTATCAGACATCTACAGTTGATGTGTCATGTAAACTCTTTTATTATTGATCATAATATCTTCTCTTCAATGTTCTGTACTTGCGCAACATGTACAAAGCTTCCAACTCTTTTATTACAAAATTACCGTGATTTATCATTTTATCTATCTTTTCGGGGTCGGTCTCTGTTCTGTTTTTATCAAAGGCTCTCTTTAGCTTGGTTCTGAAATATTGATATCCCTTCGGATAATCTCGGCCCATGTACAACAACTGAAAGATAACGCAAGATGAAAAATTTTAAAAATGTGCAATAAATAAAAAAATGTACATTTTTTAAGTTCATATATTTACATCTGAAGAAATATATGCTCGCTAGAATGATACTAGAATGATACTGAATATGTTAATTTGTATATAACACTTTATTACCGTTTTGTATAAGTGAATAACTTTATTGTGTTGTGACATGACACATAATAAATCTTGATCTAGTTAACAACTAACTCAGAGTCTTGTGGAATCTTGTAAGTCAATTGACAAAATGATAATCATTATCATCTGCGATTGTTTCTATTGGAAATGGATAAAAATTCTTCAGTATAAGTGTGTTTAATATACAAGCAAGCGTTTTTTAATGTGTTCTTTATACCCCAAATTTTTTATATTATTCATTTTTGTAGTTTCCATTTCACTATATTATATTATGTAATTACATATTTATATATCTATATTTTATTTTAAATGCAGAAAGTGTAACTAGTGTAACTATAAGGAACATTAAATGCTCTTCATATAACCTTTAAAGTTTTTGTACTGATGCACGTTTCCACCAATGTATGTACTACAGATTAACTTTAATCTCGGTTCAACTTGCTCTTCACTTTTTCTGAATTGAAAAAATGGAAAGTAAAAAAAAAATAATAAAGTAGTTGAACTGAGATTAAAGTTGATTTATGTTGGTAGAATTTATTTAAACCAATCAATCAAAAGATTCTACAGTTGTGTCCGCCAATTGACGACATGGGCTGAATCGGTCGCCAGTGCTGCTCAACTACACGTTAACAAAGGAAATTTATCGTTATCTCCTCTGATTCATTCTTCTCGAAATTGCCAAACATAAATAGATACAAAAAAATTGATTCATTGTACTCCAAGCTCCAGGCATAATCAGTTATTATCTGTTTTCTCGAGAGACAGGTCTTCCGCTTAACAATATTGAGGTAAATTTTATATTATATACATGATTATATATATATATATATATATATATATCTGTTTTTCGTTCTAAATTAATAAATTTTGATGTTTTTTTGTTAAGATGAATAAAATAAATGAATAAAAGTTAGTGCTTTCCACAAAACCAAGATAATATTGTTACGACATTATCAATAATGTTTACAGAGAATAAAACAAATTAAGAGCTTCATTTTTCCCCGATATTTGAAAGTTATTAATTTCTTTTTAACAGTGCAGTAGTTATATTTTGACGTATTTCTACTTATTTCTATTATTATATATGATGTAGTTTTATTTTAAAAACTGATAAATGTTTTTAATCTCATTTGATTTGCATATGTACATCAGTAGTTTTGCCAATATACAATAACGTTTTGACTCCCTCGATAAATATTATTTGATAATAATTATTTAATTGCTGCAACAACGATATGTCTTTTCCTTATTATATCTTCTTTATATAAATTGTAATAAATGTATATTTTAATTTTATTGCTATACGTATATATGATCCTGTCTTAATCAGTGTAATCTGACTAGGTCAGCCATGTTGGCTGTATCAGAATAATTATAAATATTCGTCATATTTATCCATATGTTATGTATTTCAGAGATACAACGAAAATGTCTAACCTTAGGAATATTATATTCCTAATATTCTGTGGTAAGTTATATTTAAGTAGTGATATATATATTAGTAACTTTTTCTTATTTATTATATATGTTCTCTTATATATAATATTTTTTTAATTTTGTAGGAATGTGTTGTACAGTGGCACTTCCTAAAACAACCTTGACTGCTCCAACATTCAGTAATACATATACGGTGAAAGGAACATTGTATATTCCATATGCAGAAATTCGAGAACCTTTCTATGCTTGGTATAATGGCAACAGTGGATCTAGTAGGATTGATTATTATGGAGGTATTAAAAAATAATAAAAATCTTCTTTAATTATTTATTATCTATTTTTAATTTAGACCTGTTTGGTATAACACACATGAACAACACATATAATATCTATTTTTTTTCTAATAGGAATGGTTAAAACCTTTCAATTGTCTCACAAAGGACAATATGGAGCGAGTATAAAAATAGCACCTATTACAACAGAGACTGTTAGTAATGAAGAAACATGTCTTCAAGTGAATGGTACTAGTGATTCTAAAATACATCCACAATCTATTCTTCCAGATACACCTGAAATGGAGGTAAGTAAAATTACAGAATTTACATTTCTGCAATTTTATAAATTATGGATATGTATATACATATAAAAAAAATATAAGTAGCTTTTACTGAAATTTATATATAGTGTATTGGAGAAGAGATGATCAATGGATTAATGTGCGAGAAATGGCGTTTTGTACAAGAAATTGGGGGCAAAACAAACAAGTATACTCTTTGGATACGTTATAAGGTAAGAATAAAATTATTTGTGTATATGATAAAATAAATAAATCTGTTCTATTTGGAGAAAATAATCTTTATAGAAATCACCGTATCTACCAAAAATCAAGGAACCTATTCCTGTGAGATATGAAATGAAAGGATTTAATAGCCTTTTAGGTTCACATTATGATCATTATTACTTGGAGTATGATTGGTATTCCTCTGACAAACCTTCTGATGATGTTTTTAATATTAAAGAAGGTATTTATAATTCTTAATATATATTTTTTCTCAATTGCTATTAACTGATATAAAAGTTTTTTTTTTTTTAAATTATATTATAGTAAAACAATTACCGTATTAAATTTATGATTATAAAGAAAATTATTTGTAGATGATAAGTGCGTCAGCTTCCCAGGTCCAGGTGAAAATCATATATATACCTTTAACCCAATGCGTGAATTCATACATAATTATGAGGATCATTTGCATAAAGCATTTGATAAATTTAAAAAAATTTACAATAAAAATTACAAAGATGACTTGGATCATATGTATCGCAAAGATTTATTTAGACAAAATATCAGGTACAGTTATGCCACAGTGGATATTGTGTTACTATTATTCCAAAAATATTTGCTTTATGTAAATAATTTTCAGATTTATTCATTCTATAAATCGTGCCAATTTGGGTTATCAGCTAGAGGTAAATCATTTGGTAGATCATAGCGATCTCGAATTAAAGGCTTTACGAGGCAAGCAATACACCCCAGGTTATAATGGTGGAGCATTATTCCCGCATGATATCGAAAAGGAAATTTCAGATGTTCCTGATAGTATAGATTGGAGGTTGTATGGCGCTGTAACGCCAGTCAAAGGTTTGTAATTTTAATATTATATTTAATATATATACTTTATGTATATACATATATAAAGTGTATACATTAAATATTATATTAAATATATATTAAATATAATATTAAATATATTCTAATATATAAGTACTTTATTTAAATAGATCAGTCTGTTTGTGGTTCTTGTTGGAGTTTTGGTACTACTGGTGCGGTAGAAGGGGCATATTACATGAAGTATAATAAATTAGTACGTTTATCTCAACAGGTAAGCAGCGTGAAGTATCAAAATTTATGAATTTTTTTCTTATTCAATTACTAACTTTTGTTTGATAAAATAATGCTAAGTGTTATAATATTGTGTAATATAATATATAATAATATATGTAGTGTTTATACCGTAGATCAATAATATTGTAGTATTAATATTGCAGGCTCTCATCGATTGTTCATGGGGATTTGGTAATAATGGATGCGATGGTGGAGAAGATTTTCGTTCATATCAGTGGATAATGAAACATGGTGGTTTACCTACTGAAGAGGATTATGGTGGTTATTTAGGACAGGTAAAATATATATTCGATTCCATTTATTAAAACTGAAAACGGTATCTGATTATTAATATAATTTGGAATGTGCGAACCAAAGGAATCTTTTTCTTTTTAGGATGGATATTGTCATATAAACAACGTAACACTAACAGCCAAGATCACAGGTTTTGTTAACGTCACTCCACGTAACGTGGAAGCTTTGAAAATCGCTATTGCTAAACATGGTCCTATCTCTGTTGCTATCGATGCTTCTCACAAGACATTCTCTTTTTATTCTCACGGAGTGTATTATGACTCAGCTTGTGGTAAGATTTATAAACTTTTATTTATATTGAAAAAAATTTACCAATATGTTACTCAAACAATTATGTTTTCGTGTATAGGCAATACCGAGGATAAATTAGATCATGCTGTTTTGGCTGTTGGATATGGTACTATGAATGGAAAAGGTTATTGGCTGATAAAGAATTCTTGGTCTAATTACTGGGGTAATGACGGATATATTCTAATGGCGCAAAAGGATGACAATTGCGGAGTTCTTCTTGCTCCCACATATGTTACTATGTAATTGTAGTTTTATCTCTAAGAATTGGTCGTATCATTTAAGCTCTCTGGTATTTGTAATTAATAAATATATATTCAAATACAATTTAGAAAATTAAGAGGCTAAAACATATTTAGTTATCTAGTTACTTAGTTATATTTCATAATGAACAAAGTGTAATAAATTGTTGAAAATTGTATTTAGTGTAGGAAAATGTGATTATACTATATAATAATGAAAGAAATAAAACATTTCGTAATTAAAAAAAGTGTCTATTAAACATTTTTTTTATTAATGTCAAGAATGATTATTTAGAAAATAAAATAAAAATATACATTGGACAAAATATTATTCAAATTTGAAGTATGTATTAACAGTAGAAAATAAGCAGAATTCTTTATGAAATTTAGGCATATATGTGTAAGTAAAACAGAATCTTAGAATATTAATTTATTTTCGGAATAGTTGATATTAAATTAGTACCACATATAATTTAACATAGACTTGATGCATTATTTTTTTATCAAAGAATAAAGTTACTTTCACTTTCGCAATCTTTTTTTTAGATACGAACCGTCATTACATATTATATTTTTAATTATATTTTTATTAATAGTTTTAACGAATAATACGATATATTCAGAAAATTTTTATAAACTGTTTTTACACATAACGATGTCAACGTAATTAGCAATTATACTAATTCGTTCTTTCTTTTTTATTATATTAATGCATTTTTTCGTTTGTCAAATAGCCTTGTACAATTCCAAAATATGGTTATAACTATATATTTTTACAAATATATAAATACTTTTTCTAATGCATTTATGTCCAGTAAGATTGTTATATGGTGTTTGTATATAATGTGTAATTGATATGGATACTTTCAAAATATACATAATATCGTTTATATTTGCGATAAACGCTAAAGAAATGTAAAAAAATACATGTGATATGACAAACAGGTATAAAGCAGATATAATTAACGAATAGTAAACTAATTCTTTGCAATAAATTTGCACGTGGAAGTATCACGGTATATTAAGTAAACAATAACTATAA